TGATAACATGACTTTGTACCCATTGCTCCACAGTTGGACTTTTACAGCACAGTTCCAAAAAGGATCACATTATTAGGCCTATTCAGTGGCTTGTCAATGGCTTCATTGATTTCTTGACTGACATTTTAATTTATTAATAACCAAATAAGTGATAACATGACTTTGTACCCATTGCTCCACAGTTGGACTTTTACAGCACAGTTCCAAAAAGGATCACATTTTTAGGCCTATTCAATGGCTTGTCAATGGCTTCATTGATTTCTTGACTGACATTTTAATTTATTAATAACCAAATAATTGTCACTTGAAGTACCACTCATTTTTTCATTCTTGTTGATTTTCTCTTCTGCCAGGTCCATTTGTTAATATCTTTGCATGTGATTTTCGTTCTTGATCATTTCTTATTTGATTGATGGGTGAAAGTTGTTAGATGGAGAAGAATGTTTGAATTTTTAAGTGGACAGTTCATTAGTAAATATTTTTTATTATGATGACACTTGCTTCTTCTACCTTGTGCCTGTGGATGATAATTCTGATAACAGGTATTTCATTTTTTCCCCCTCAAAATGAAGCCAGGACAATTATTGCATTAATTCATACACAGTAATTAGAGTAACCATAGACTCCCGATATCTTCAAGTTTTAACACTCCTGGTTTAGCCACTCACCTAATGCTTAAATTCTCTTCTAAGGAACCCATATTTTAACATCTTCTCTACCAGGGAGCTTACTGCCTCCCAAGGCATCTCTCTCCATCTTTGAACAGCTCTGATATTTATAACATTTTCCTTATAGTAAGCTGAAATGTTCGGTAGCACTTGCGCAAGTGAAAGAACAGCTGAAAAGATACAGGAAAACTCAGTGGGGAAAAGGAAGGAAAAAAATTAACTGGTTTTTTGTCCCCCCACCCCCCATAGAAGTAAGTTGAATTTGAATAGTTTGGTGAAAATTTAACTGGCTCTGTTGCAGTTGAAAACACAGGAGAGAAACTGATTCTTTAAAACACCAGTCAGATTGTCAAGCTCTGAATACCTATAGAACAAATAATTTCATTTTTTATTTTTTATTTATTTATTTATTTTTTGTCTTTTGTGTGACCAGTAAGGGAATCTCAACCCTTGGCTTGGTGTCACTCGCACCACGCTCAGCCAGTGAGCGCACCGGCCATCACTATATAGGATCCAAACCCACGGCGAGAGTGCCGCCGTGCTCCCACTGCTGCACTCTCCCGAGTGCGCCACGGGGTCAGCCCAGAACAAATAATTTCAAATATCTCCCCCAATACTTGTGTTGTATCAATAAACTGGCTGGATATTATTCACTTGCACCTAATAAAATATTTGTTCTCAAAAAATGTCTTTAAATAAGCTCCAGATTTAAAATATTGTTTTATGTTGTATTTCTATCTATAATCACTTACTCATACAAAAATCTTGATAATTTAGACATACTAGCTCACCATGAATAGGTGTACATGTGTAATGTTTTAATGGCCATCTATTTTGAGCCTCCATTAGATTAAAATACAATTAAAGCCACAGTCTCTTAAAAATAGTCATTTTGTTCTTAAAGATAAAATTAAAACCAGAATCTTATTTCTGCTTTTTTTTTTTT